TATGCCTCAGGTGGAGGTCAGCCAATGCTGTCTATGGCTGAGGGTCGATGCGTAAGCACTACGACAGAGGGAGAGAGTGGGAGATAGAGGGAGAGAGCGAGAGAGTGGATACTAATAGTGAGTAGCCAGAGAGACATATATACATATATATGTAGACACATGTATGTATGTATGTAAATACATAGATAACATCTGCACTTGTTGAGCTCGTGCAGATGTTGCGAGTTGGAAATGGGCGGAATGGACCAGAAACTGGTAAAGCTGTCATTATTTTTGGATCATTCAACGTTAACAATGATGACGCCGTCGTCTCGGCAGAGCATCTTGGTACACTGGCATGACTAATCAAATCGTATATTGCATCTATCTGACGTCTAACAACGCTGGGACGATATCTGTGGAGAAGCCAGCGATGCGTCATGTTGTTGTTGTTTACCAGTTGTTGTCGCCCTGACAGTACCTGGAATCGGACTTGATTATTATATGCCACGAGTCTTCCCATAACACATATAGCTCGTTACAATTTAAATCCACAACAATTGAACGAAACTTTCCCAACATTTGAATGCAAATTGCAAAATAAACCAATCAAATTGAATATAGAATAGATCAGACAAACCAGATTCGCGCAGATCGAGCAGATAACTCAAATGGATATAGTCTATGTAGTACGCATTCATGTAATCGTATTCTAACTGACGTGTTTTCTCTAGTTGTTCGCCCTGAATCGAGGCCGGTTTAAATTTGTCGYTAAGGCCTAAGGCCTAAGGCCATTGACCGCCATTCAATAATTCCAAATTCAATAATAAATTAAGTATTTTAATCGGTCGGGAGTACTAGACTAGGAGATCATTTACTGAATTTATCCTAGTACACAGAAGCACACGCTCTGCGCCTAACTACGGGTTTTACCATGGGAAATTAGTTTTGAATTACTTTTGTTCTAGCAAATAAATATAATTTATAATAATTTTTTAGGGGGAAGCACATTCGAAATGTTTACAATATTTGTGCGCATAGCAATTAGCTAGCTCAAACATTAGTGATATTCCAGTTGCACTAAAAAAATAGGAAATTAAATTATCGATTGGAGAGAAATGGTAGGAGATATTACTTAAAGCTCTAGCCTTTCTGGTGTAAGAGATCATATTATTCATATAGACAGACAGACAGACGGATAAGGCTATGTGAATTCCTGCCACACCTACTTTCCACAATGACGTTATACTGACGTTTTATTGAAGTTTTTTTTAGAGTTTTTTCTATAGTTTGTCCAGTCAACAATATTGTGAGATCCCTCTAAAGAGTCTATCTGAACTCGAGATTGGCTTACATATAAGAGCTGAAACTTTGAATGTACAGTATATGTACTCTGGTCAAATAAGGATAAATCGAAATAAGCTAGATCGTATAACTATAACAACATTATATTATAATGCCAAGATTATTTTATTTAAA